AACTATATTAGAAGTATATTGTAAAATGATGTGGTTTTTGCTGAATATGATCGTAAATCCTAATATATTGTAAAATGATGTGGTTTTGCTGAATATGATCGTAAATCCTAATTTTATTTCAGATGATTTTTTACTAGATCTTGTAGCTCGCTCACTCAGACAGTTAAGGATCACAAAAGCCTTCACGTATGGATTTTTTTGTACATGATAGAATTACAAATAGTTTGATGAAATAATAAAAGAAAACATAATGTACAAGGATTATTTTATGTGATGAAATAATAAAAGAAAAACATAATGTACAAGGATTATTTTATGTGTGTGTGTGTTTGTGTGTCATTTTAAGTAATTTCACAATCAAACCTCATTATAAAAAGCATATTAACCAAACACATGAAATTGTTTTTTATTCAACTCAATTTCAATCATAGTTTTAATAAAACAATTTAATTTATTAAACAAACCTCAACAAAAAGTGATTTTTAATCAAATACACCCAAAGACATCATCCTTTTATACATCAAACATAAAAGAGTTTGACTGTGAAATTACTATATATGTTGTAACCCAATTTTGGATTCACTAAGATTTTCTCGAATGTTATTTTATTTTATTATTCATAACAAAAATAAAAAAAAGAAAAAAAAGTTTAAAATATATTTTCTCGAGTCAACCGTATCTTTCGAACAAAACCAAGTTCACCGGGTCAATACGAGTTAAACCATGTCGATCGGCATAAAAAATGAGTTTCGGGTTAAAACCATCATTTTCGGTCAAAATCGAGTCCACCGGGTCAATACGGGTCTCACCATGTCGACTGGGATGAAAAATGAGTTTCAGGCCATTTCGGGTCCCCGAGTCCACCGGGTTAATACGGGTCCCACCATGTCGACTGGATGAAAAATGAGTTTCAGGCTGTTTCGGGTCAAAACCATTATTTTCAGTCAAAACCGAGTCCACCGGGTCGAGAGATTACTATTTGTGCAATTATTTGATACTGTTAATTTTATTTTCTACTTTTTCTTCACGGAGTAAAATATTGATTTTTTTAAAAAACAATTTAAAAAATACCAAAAATATCCCAACCGTTAGATCTAATAGTGTTTAAATCTGGGCCTTTGATTTTTTAGGATACAATAGGCTTTACCACACCAGATTAAAACTCAAATCCATCTCAGCCTTTAAAATAATCTTCCCTTTGATCCTGTTGCGCCACGTCATTAGGCGTACCAAACACTGGGTACACCGCGACACACAGGATCATAGCTAAGCCCATCCGGACCGTCCAATCAACTTGCAGATCAAGCCAATCACAACCGCACGATCCATTATCCGCAATCCAATGGTTCATAGCCTTCGGACACATCGGTGCACCATGCTCGAGTTCACACCGTAGCAAATCTCAAAGCCTCTCTCTCCTCTCGTCGGTGATTTTCTCTCTCTCATCCGATCTCCCATTTCCGGCCGTTTTAAGCCGCCAAACCACCATAGAAAGGTGCATCGCCTCCGCCATCGCCTCCTCTAAAGTAAAACCCCGACCGTTTTACGTGTTTTCACCGTCGAATCTGGTTGGAAAAAGGTCGCGACAGAATCGGCCAACCGGAGCTTCAAGTCGACAATTCTCCCTCATCAGCCATCAACGGAAGACGAAACCACTGTCATCAGAATCCTCTCCCTAAGATCTACCAGAATCGACCATTTGTTGGCCAGAATCTCAACAAAAAATTTTGCTGCCTCCAACAGTAGTCGCGCGTGAGCCCGATATCAAAAATTTAAATACCAAATATGAATTATGTCCATTACTATTACTTTTAGTAAATCAGATGTAACTCTCCTTTTTAGGGACAAACGTCGACATTTTAGACAAAGTCTCCTAATTTTAGGGACTGATTTTTAACGTGTCTTCTATTTTTAGAAATCGACGTTAACCATCTTAAAAATTTTTGCAAATAAGCTCAAAATATAATAGCATTTGAATCAAATGAAAAACACACAAGTAAAGGTAACCTTTCTCTCAAAGGATGTTTTAAGGGTGGTGTCTCCCTCTCCTTAATCATAATTAACCCAGTACCTGAATCTCTGGAACCAGTGTCTAATTTTGAATTTCTAGTTCCCTCAAATTACTAGATGGCGACTCTAATAAAAAAATTTATTGGCCCAATAAAAAAAAACTTATTCTTTTTGTTAAACAAAAAAAAAAGAGTGGAGCTGTCACTCGACGTCGTCTAGCGACAATATATACTAGTCAAGGGTTGCAGAAAGGGAAGGTAAGTAAAGGGCACTAGGGATAATTATTTTCAGTTTGAGGTTTTTATCTAAACTAATAACCAAACTGTGTTTTAAAAAAAAAAACAAATGGTTTCAGTTCATTTCAGTTATTTTATAGTAAAAATCAACGATTATATTATTTTTTGAGTTTTTTTTTATTTTCTAATAGATTTGGTTTTAGTTTGGCTTGACTGTTCGGTTTGGTTCGGTTTTTGATTTTAGGCTTATAAAACCAAAACCAAAACCGAATAGAACCGATTAATTTTTTTAAATATTCTAAATCTTTTTTCACTATTTGATTTTTTCAGTTATTTTTTTATAGTTTTGGATTGGTGAATTGGGTTGTTGTTTTGCGTTTTTATTTTAGGCTTTTTCTCTAAAGGTGTTTTCACAATGTATCAAAATAATACTTTTTATTTTTAAAAAATTATTTTTAATATAAATACATCAAAAAATCTTAAAAATATGTTAAAAAATTAATTGAAAATAAAAAATAAAATGAATTTAATTTTTTTCAAAATTATTTTTAAAATATAAAAATAAATGGATAATTTGTATATAGCGTTTGAGTTTTCTTTATGATTTTGATACAACTTGGGTTTTGTCGACCAATGGGACTTGTCCACGTTAATGCAACACTTCTAATTCCTTAAGGTGACCTTTTCCTTTAATATTTAACTAATATTCTAAAATATGTGAGGAAAGTTTGTAGTTTTTCCATGCCTCGTGCCTTTTTTTTTTGTATTTTTGTCCTCCTTTTTTGTCATTCTTTTCTGTTTTCTGGGCTTTACATTTTTTTTTCTTCATATTGTCTTTTTTTTCTTTTTTCTTTTTATATTTTTTTTAAAAAAATTATTAATTTTTTTTATATTAAATTGGTTGAAAATTTAGTTCTATAATTTTTTCTTTAAAATATTATAGATTACTATAATGTTTCCCTACATGACTTTTTTTTTTAAATGGTCTTTATCGATTTTGCTTCGTAGTTTTTTTATTTAAAATACTATGTATTGTTACAATATTTTTTCATATGTTTTTTGTTTTGCTACAGTGTTTCTCTATATGTGTTTTTTCAAAATTATCTTAGTCAATTTTATTTTATTTTAATATTGAGTTGGTTGAGAATTCAGCTTCAACTTTTTCCATATTTTTTTTCACTTTTTTGTTTTCTTAATTTTTTCAGAATTTTTTTTAAATTTTATTTTTTTAATATGCAGCTAGTTAAAAATTTAGATTTGTAGTTTTAAAAAAAAAACACTACGTATTACTACAGTATTTCTCCATATAGTTTTTTTATTTTTTTGTTTTTTTTTGTAGAAATATCTTTGTTGATTTTTTTTCATATTGAGATAGTTGAAAATTTAGCTTTATTGTTTTTTCTTTAAAACACTATAGATTGCTACAGTATTCCCCTACATGTTTTTTTTGTTATGATTTTTTTTTAAATTATTTTTATCAATTTTATTATTTTTAAAATTAAGCTGGTTGAGAATTATAACTGTAGATTTCCTCATAGATTACTATAATATTTCTCTACATGATTTTTTTTTTGTTTTTTTGTTATGATTTTTTATAAAATTTTCTTTGTTCATTTTATTCTTTAAATATTAATCTGGTTAAAAATTTAGTTTTGTAGTTTTTTTCTTTAAAACATTATGAATTCCAATAGTTTTTTTATATAATTTTTTTTATTTTTTTTATAAATTCACTACAATGCACAAACATGCCACAAGCCCGCGATATTGTGCGGGTATGACATTTAGTTATATTCTAAATGTTGGGAGAAACACTAGTTGTTCATTAAAAAAATTAAAAATGATTTTATAAATACAAATATTAATATTTTCTAAAATTAGTAAATGTTAAAAAATTTCAACATCACTCAAAAATTTAAAATGATAAAAAATATTTTTTAGGAAAATATTAAACTTTTGTAAATGTTTAAGAAAAAAATCTTATTATTTAATAAAAAAGAATAAGTCCAGAAATTCTAAGCCTACAAAATTTCAGAAATTTTCCAAAATGTTTAATAAAATATTTGGAATTAATGTTTAGAGTTTGAAGTTAGAATTCAAGGTCTGTGTTTGTGTCTAGGGATTTGAGGTTAGATTTTAGGATTAGGGGTTAGGTTTGTAGTTTAGATTTGAGGATAGTGTTTAGGGTTAGGGTTTTGAAATTTGGATTTAGAATTAATTTGGATTTGAGATTAGATTTTTTTCAAACCATGTTCTACAAGAAATTCAACTCAAACTATACTTGGCTTTATTTACGTGGATTGAATCAATTTTTTTTTAAATATAAAAAATAATGTTTAAATTATAATTTTTTAATATTATTATTAAATTTAATATAATAATTTAAACTAAAAAAAATTCAAATCTCAATTCTTTGCATAGCTAGAATTTAAATTAAATATCGAGGAAGTAACTCCAAAACAACTTTGTTAAATGTAAAGGTCTAAAGCAAAAAACAGTATCAAAGGATTAAAAAAAAAAAAAAAAAGGGACGTGAACCAGTTCAGCTATGAAACGAAGTTCATATATGGCGCCTAAAACAAATATAATGTAACGAGCGGATAAGTCACGTTCGCGCACTCCTAATATTGCGACAGCGTCAGTCAAATTCTCCTTACACCACCACCACCTCCTCCTGCATGCTCATTTCTGTATATATACATATATCTTTTTTTCCTCCATTTAAATACCCCTCCAAGCCTAGCAGCTGCCCATTTGCCGCCCCTCTACAAAATTGCATAAAAGAATCTGTTTTGATGTTGCGAGATCCAAGAAAGAAAAATCGTAGATCTTTAATTTGGTGGATTCAGTTTAAGCTAATATCGTTTACCAATCTCGTTTGATTCTCTCAGGTACATTCTTTTCTTTTTATTTGTGGATATGTAGCTTAAAGTTTTTTTTTTCAATATTTTTTTTAAAGTATTAGTAGGGCTTGAGATCTTTGATGTATAATGAGATAAATAGATCGATCTTGTGTAAAGTGATGTGGGTTTTATGAGAGTTTGAATGGCGGATCTTAAATTGGGACATGTCAGATCCATTTTCTAGAACATGATTGATTTATGATTTAATTTTTGGTAATCTGGAACTTGCGGATTATACTGTTGGTAATTTTTGGTAATTTGGAACTTGCGGATTGTACTGTTGGGTCCTGAATACTGAAAGATTGTATTTTTCTTAAGTGGGTACTCAATTACGACTTATGCAAGGTTGGAACATTTTGATTTGGTGATTATCATTTTGAGTAAATTTTAAAAATGCATGCCATTCTTTTGTTTGCTTAATGATTAATGGGTTAGCTTCTTTTCTTTAGTCAACTCAACTCAACTCAACTAGTACTAACATCAATTTAATGTGGTTGGCATCTTGAGTTTGCACTTTAGACAACATGGTCTATGTAAAAAGTTGATTTCAAATTTGTAGTTTTTTTTTTTCCTTGCCAGGTAATTTTGAATTGAAATACTGTGTTTGGGCTGGGGGTGTCTGTCCGTATACATGAGAAATGCTTCATGGAATGAGTGGAGTTATATTAATCCCAATAGGCTTTAAATTATACTCAGAAGTTCATGGTTGCTGGTTTATTCTTATCTTCTGAAGATTCCAGGACTGTTTTTCTAACAATAATCATGTGGTTTGTTTGGGATTACTTATTTTTGGGCTTTAAATTAAAATTCTAACACCGCCTCCTCCTGCGATAAATGTATGCAGTGCTTCCACCTTCCTCTTTATATTGAACATGTGGAGGTTCAAACATTTTACTCAAAAAGAACCAGCAGGGCTTGAAGGTCGCTCTCTTGATGTTGGCATTCTTAAGATTCATGTCCGAAATGCCATTGCGGAAGGAGGGTTTTCCTGTGTTTATTTAGCTCGAGATGCTGTGCATGCAGCAAAGCAAATATGCTTTAAAGCATATGATATGCAATGATGAGGAATCGTTAGAATTGGTGGTGAAGGACATTAATGTGATGAAAGCACTCAAAAGGCATCCCAATGTTGTCACACTTTATGCACATACCATCTTAGATATGGGAAGGGCAAAGGGAATTTTGTGAAAAATCTCTGTTCAGTGTGCTGGAGAGCAGTGGAGCAGGATACTTTGAGGAGGAACAGGTCCTTTCCATATTTAGAGATGTCTGTGATGCTGTTTTTGCTATGCACTCTCAATCTCTGCCAATTGCTCACCGGTAAATTTCTAAGTTCAGCTTTAATGTTTGTTATTGTGATCTCCAAAAATTTTGTAATCTACAGTTTGATAAACACACTGAACTCAATAAGCCTTTGTTCAAAATTTTGTGAAAGTATCCTGCATGAATAATCTTTATCCCTTTCCAAATTGCACTATTTGATAGTGCTAAGTAAGCTTTTAGCAACTGGTTAATTGTTTTTCACAATTTTCAGAGACTCGAATGCTGAGAATCTTCTGCTGGGGCCATCGATCGTGGAAATTGTGTGATTTTGGTTGCACCTCTACAAATCACAAACGCTTTGAGAAGCCTGAAGAAATGGGTATTAAAGAAGACAACATCCGGAAGCACACACCACCTGCCTATAGATCCCCTGAGGTTGAAGGAGATCTGTGCTTTGGGAAAAAAAAAAAATTGTCATTTTGTGGGGAAAGTGTTTGATTTCTGTCTTTCCTCCTTTTCTTGACTTAGATGTGGGATCTATTCTGGAGAGATCTTATAAATGAGAAGGTGGATATATGGGTAAGTGGATTGGATCGTGTGTTTTTATTAAGTTCAGTAACCTTCAAATTTTCCCTTCCCAACCAGACCAGAGTTGCTCTGCCATTTTTCTTGCGCTTGGATGTCTACTCTATCGCATATGCTACTTCAAGAGTGCATTTGATGGAGAATCAAAGCTGCAAATATTAAATGGGAACTATCATATTCCAGATTTACTAAAATACAACTTGCCAGTGACAACCTTGATCAGTGACATGCTTCAAGCATCACCAGATGACCGACCAGACATCATGCAGGCAAGCACTTTGGTTGACTGGAAATTCATATCCATGAACATAGGTTAGTTTTAGATCATCTACATCCATGGCAGCTTCTGGTACGGAGATTCTAACATTCTGCTTACTGATGCTGGGATTTTCCCATGGAAGTAGGTATGGTTTCGTGTTAATGAGCAGCTACCAGTTAATTTGCAGAAGTAGCTGCCTGATGGGCCACCTGAAATGCAATCTGCTGCTGTACATGGAGGTGAAGACTTTTTCCATGGATAAATCAAAGTTTGTTTTTCTGTTTAGTTACTTCCTTTCCCAGGATGAGACATCTGATATCTGATAAATTATCAGGTCTGAACTTGGTTAAATTCATTCAGAACTTTAAAATTTTAAATTAATCAACATCTTGGTTACTTTTTAGTAAATTCTTAAGTTTTATATTTTCTGGTTACTTCTATTCAACTGAATAGCCAAGTTGTATTGTTTTGACCTTGCTGAATGTGGAAATGATTTATTTATTTCCTTTCCCAGAATGAGTCATCTGATATCTGATAAATTATCAGGTCTGAACTTGGTTAAATTCATTCAGAACTTCAAAATTTTAAGTTAATCAACATCTTGGTTACTTTTTAGTAAATTCTTAAGTTTTATATTTTCTGGTTACTTCTATTCAACTGAATAGCCAAGTTGTTTTGTTTTGACCTTGCTGAATGTGGAAATGATTTATTTATTAGGTATTGCAAAAACTGCAAATAGGTCACCTCCAATGCCTCAAAGAAGTCCACCACCTCCACCTGCATCTAGGGTTGGGGGAGGTGGGGACAGCTTGGTGCTTTCTGGTCAACGCAGCTCGCAAAGGACTCACTGTTCGTCAAAGACAAGAGCAGACCTAACTTCGATGAAGAATCTATACATAACACCAAACGAGAGAGGAGTCACCCAGAGAATTACAGTTTTCCCAAAAATACTAGTCCTGCTAAGCAGGAAAATGCACAGACCCATCTTGCTGGCAGGAGGAATGTGCGTAATGTAATGTATCACATGTGCCCAAGGATGGTGCTTCCAATGACTTTGAATTAACCTTTTCTCAGGAAGAAACAGGCATGGAAAGGCTGAAAGCATCAAAACCAGCTGCCACGTGTTTATTTCAAGATGAGACTTTAATACTTTTGATACTGAATTTGATAGCAATAAGCTCAGCTCTAGAGTTAGTCGTGACAAAGGGGGAAAAGGAAGAACGTTAGAGGCTGAAATAGAGAAGCTTGAAGAGCAGCTGAAGCAGGTAAACTCTGAGAAGGCTGAAATAACTTCGAAATTTGAAAGGCTATCTGCCATTTGTTGATCCCAGAGACAGGAGATACAGGAGCTCAAGCAAACTCTAGCTGCTAGAACTCCCTCACCTAATAAATACCAAGCCTCACCTAGAATTCAACCATCTGCAAGTCCTCCGGTATTATTTTCATTAATGTTTTCACCACTGTATTTGCAATAGAGACTGTCTGTCCATGTCGTTTACTTTATTTATTCCCATCACAGCAAGAAAAATCTGACTGGAGTACCCTAAGCCTAGAGACAAAGTCATGGCAAGCATTTGCAGATGATAAGAAGTCACAGAAGCAGCATCTTTCAAAAGGCAACAGTCCACAGTCCGTTAGAACCAGAAATGCACACCAGAAATAAGCAGGCTGCTGAATTAACATCCGATTTTGATTCCTGGGGTTTTGGATTAGAGAATTTTACAGCTGTCCCAGCCACCAGCTCCCAAATTCCAGTGTCCAATACTGAAGTGAGTGTAGGTGCTTATAAGATTATGGTGAGCAAGCCAGCTACTCAACCTGCTGGATGGGCTGGTTTCTAGCTAAGTCATTTGCGAAGCCATATGAGAAGGTATATTTACATTAGAACCATGACATTTTTCCTAAGAGATAAATATAGGGAGAAGTGAAAAAATATATGGCCTTTTGGACTTGTTTGTTGTATTGAGTGCTTCCGTTTGTAGATTCACATTTTTCTATAGAACATTTGAACATGTTCTCTCGTCTTTTTATTGTTGCGTTTGTTGCTATTGTTTGTCGTTTTAACAAGCTGTCTGCTTTTCTTTTTACTTGTACTGTGTGTGCAGAATGTTTTTGCTTCTATAATGAGATTGAACACGCAGTGGAAAGATTAACATTTTGGAGTGGCTAATTTTTAGTGTTGGGTTTGGCCAATCGTGTTACATTAGGTCATTTCTCTCGTGATTTCTTCTTTTTTTTTCACTAGAAAAAAAATATTAATAATATCTTGATATTTTTTATGGTAAAAAAACTTTTAATTTGATCTGCTGCTTAGCGTGAGTGATTAAATTAGTGTTCTGACAAATTTTCCCTTGCTTAAAAAAAAAATGACCTAAGATTTAGGGGATAAGATGATCTTTTTAACATGATTCAATGCTATTTTTAAATTGTTTACGGGGTAAATTAATTTTTTCATACTTTTAGAATAATTAAATTACTTAAATATCCTAGGAACAGAAAAACTTTTTTTTTTTTTCAAATTGTTCAGGGGGTAAATGATCTTATGTCTAGGGGCTTTTATGTCCTTAATGTTTTTTTTTAATCACAGTTAATTATTTAATTATATCTGGTTCAAAATTAACAAAACTATCCTTTAGAAGTGATTTGGTTTTTTTTTTTATCTTGATTTTTTTGTTAATATATATTTTTATATTTTAAAAAAACTTTGTTGAGGTGTTCTATTCACATACCAATAAGTGGATGGCGCATGCAAAATCATTCGGATATCAAATACCACTTTCCATGTTAATGTTTAAAAGATCCTGGAGCCCCTTACCTGAAAGAATGATGTGTGTGTCAAACACATTTCTGGTTTGGTTTTGATAAAAAAAAATTTCTCCTGTTATTTCTCTTTTCACCTTAAATTCAATAAATTCAACATCAATCTTTTTAAAATTTCAAGCCAACTCTTTTAATTTTTTTTTCCTTAACATTTGATACATGTCCTTTTAATTATTATTTCTTTCATTTTGAATAATCTATAAAATTAGATTTTTTTTATTTTTATCATTTTCTATTTTTTCTCTTTTAAATTTGATTCCTGTTTTGATTATTACTATTAGTTTTATTTGGGATTTTTTTTTACAATTCTATCCTCATGTTTTTTTCTTATTAAATTTGATCCATGTTCTAATGATTGTTAAGTTTTTTTAACTTTACAAGTTTTTTAAATTGATATTTATTTTTTATAATTTTATTTTTCAACATTAAATTTGTTAAAAATTAATTTTCTTGGTTGAATCATGGTCTAATAATTCAAGTGTTAAGCGTTTCAGATGTTAGATTAAGTTTAGGAGATTTGCATTTAGTTTGTTTGATTTTTTATTTTCTTTTGTTTAAATTATTTTTTTATTTTTATCATTCAACAATATTATTCAATTGGCTTTTGGCTCCATTCTTTTTATTTATTTGCTTTCCATAAAAAAAAAATTGAGTCTTTCTTCGTTTGGTATTTTTGGCTAATTCTTTACATTGATATTTTTTTTCCTATTTCATCCTTCAATATATGAAATAATTTTTTTAAATTAATTTATAAAATTAAGATTCCTTTTTAATTTTATTCTTATTTAAATTTTTAAATTTAGTCCTCATTTTTTTTTATTTCTATTTGTTTTATTTGAGATAAATTTTTACTTTTTTTTTTTATTACAGCCTTCTTAAGTTTTTGTTTCCCATCAAATATGATTCCTGTTTTTCTTATTACTATTATTCTTGCTTTCACATATATTATAAATTAATATTCTTTATTTCATTATTCAACATTAGATTTGTGGGAACTAAACTTCTTGACTAAGTTTGGGCCTACAATTTCACGAACTTTGGGTTTTAGAGATCAATCCATTTTAGAGAGGTTTACCTGAGTTTACTTGGTTTTTTTTTTTTTTAAGCTCATTTTTTCAAGTTTTATCATTTAATATTTATTTAATTGGAGACTGGCTCAGTTATTTTTATTTATTTTCTTTTGGTATAATTTTTCATTGATTTTGAAAATGACATATGTTTTCTTAAGTCTTTTTATTTGATGTTCTTTATTGGATATGCTTTGGCTAATCAATATTAAATTGATTGAAAATTGAGTTTCTTGATTCAACTCAGGTCTAGAATTTAATTGGTTGTGAGTGTGAGACCTTAACTTAAGTTTAGAAGGTTTATCTGAGTTTACTTGGTTTATTATTTTTTGAAGTTAATTTTTTTTCAATTTCATTATTTAAAATTTATATCATTAGTGATTAGCTTTGTTGTTTCTTTATCTTCCTTCTATTTGTTGTTTTTTAAATTTTAAAATGACAGGGGTTGTCTTGGATTTTTTTATTAGATTTATTTTTGCAAGTTCTAAATCAATTTTTTTTCTTGATTTTATCTCAAAATATCGCATTGATTGAGAATTAATCTTTTTTTTTTTGTTCCATCATTCAAAGTTAAGTTTTCTTGATAGATGTTGTCATGATTTTCTTTGATTTTCTTTTTATTCGTTCATCTTTATCTCATTACTTGGATCGCAGGTTTTACAAGTTAGTTTAGATTGGTTGACTTTTTTAGGGTCGTTCTTTTTAAATTTAATATTTTTTACACCCCGTCCTTCAACATTAGATTATTTTGGAATTGAATTACATGATGTTTTCTAGTTTACCTTCTATTCAATTGTTTTAATCACATGATCCAAATAGTAGAGCTTGATTTGCTTAGCTTTTTTTTTAATTGATTCTGTTTTCAATTTCATTATTCGACTCTAAATTTATTTAGGATTCGACTTGAATTTTTTTTATTTTCTTATCAACCTAACTTGTATATTTAACATGTTTAGTTAGGTTGGCCGATGCTATTTTTTTCTTTATTCTTTTTAATTTTAATCAGCTAAAATCTTAATTTTGTTGACTTTAATTGTTTCTTTTTTATGTTTCTTATTCCCTGTTCTTTTTTTTAAAAAAAATTGAATCTATGCCTCAAGTTTTATTTTTTTTTAAATTCTTTTAAAACTTGCTTGCATCACCAAAGTATTTTTTTTTAAATAAAAAAATATTCTGGCATGCGGCATAGCTAGATTCATAAATACAGTAGGCACTAAAACTCAAAAATATATCTAATATCAAGGTAGCTTATGAGGCCCAGAATTTCAAACCCGAGACTACTTTTCAATTATCTAGCAAAACGTTCGTAATCCCTTAATCCTATACCAAAGAAAATTATAGGTGAGTCGAGGGGTTGACCAGGCTTCCTTAATGATTTTTTATACTCAGATTTTAGGTCTAATATCTTCAAAAATTTATTAAATCTCTTTAACTATTTATTTGAGAAAAAAATATGACGGGAGGAGAGGGGAAGGGAAGGTAAGATTAACCTTCTCCTTCCCCTTCATTAAAAGATGAGAGAGAGAGAGGAGAGAGAGAGAGCAAATATATTTTTAATTATCATGTAAGTTGGTCTCTCTCAATTTAACATGTTCAGAAGTAAAAAATTTCAATATTTAGTTAGTAATTTTTAATCATCAGTGATAAAAAAAATTAAAAATTAAAAATAATTTATTTTAATGAAAATTAAATATCTAGATAATAATATTAACGTTAGTGATTTTTAGTAAAAAATTGCAATAAATAAAATAATTAATTTTAAATTCTAAGAATAAGAGTTTTGTTGTTATTTTTATATGATAAATGTTAAGAATAAAAATATAAATATAAATATTTAAAAAACAAAGATTATAGACACACACACAGAAATATATATATATACACACACACACACATAGCTTAGAATCACGCTACTAATCATATCGTTCAACGTGAAGTTATGAGAAATTGAGAATTTGTAGGGCAGCTTTTTTATTCAAAGCACAGTTCTGTCTGTGCAAGCTATTAGATTTTCATGGTATCGATGAACGGAACCTCCAGCTTTCGATTGATGAAGCATCCGATATACTCTTCCACGGTGACAGTCTTGTATAACGGTCGACTTCCGAGCTTAATTAGTTCTTTGGCAGGACCAACTCTGAAAGATAAGTTAGGATAGCAAAAGGTAACTATGGATCGTCTCTCCTTTGTTTTGTTTACCACCGCTCTGTGCTCTGGTGCTTTGTATAGCCCATTGCTTAATATCTGCATTATTCAATTAAATTATCTAACTATACATCTTATAATCAATTCATTAGAGCACAACTCGAAAAAAAAATCTAGTATAATTATTTATTATAACTTGAACAAACTGCTCAAATACCCCACTTTCCTTTTTCTTCAGTTGATATGAAATATTTTACTCACATGAACACCTAGTATAATTATTTACTTACCTCTGTGATCTGCCCCATGTTTACAACAATGGCACCATCTAAAGGTTCAACAAAAATCCAATGATCATCCCTTAGAACCTGCAATCCAGGTGTATCTCCACAATCAAGCAAAAGAGCGAAGCCAGGGATGTCAACATGTGGGGTTAACCCCATAACTCTTTCAGGTTGAGGACAAGATGGGTAGTAATTCATCCTTATTTGATACAGTCCTTCTTCATAAGCATCGTAGAGCTCTTGACTCTCAATCTCAAGCCCCATGGCCATGAATCTTGTTAAGGCAACGGCAATTTGCCTCATGTCTTGAGAATACCTGTCAAGGGATTCCCTGATAGACAAAATGTACTTTGTTTAGTTAATCATCATGACAGTCAACACCAGTAACTTGGTGATGGGATCTTGTTTAGTTGCTAGTACCTGAATTTTGGAGGGTTTTCGGGCCACATTTCGAGGTTTCTGTTTTCAATGGGAAGAGCTTTGAGGAAAATCATGTCATTCCATTCAAGCTTTTGTTCTTCTGAGGTCACAAATGCTTGACCATAGCCTTCAAGGCTTCCCGGTTTCTGTGCCCAGCGTTTCTTCTCTTTTAAGGGAAGGTCAAAGAACTCATGAGTTTGCTTGTTCATGTTTCTCAGTGATTCGGCTGAAACTCCATGGTTTATTAACTGCAAAATCATATCATTACAGAGACCTTTTTTCTTTTTCTTTTTTTATACGGTATATTAATTTGTTAGGTTATGTACAACAACACTTTTCTAGAGTTCAAGACTCAATAAATAATAATAAAAATAAAAAACCTTATCTTTAGAGGCTAGTAGCATCAGCCGTATCTCTTAAGAGAAAAATCAAATCTCCAGCAGCTTAAACTAACTATTTAGTTCGAATACTTGCTTATTTGACCATTGAAAAATGAGAGATTCGCCTTTATAGATCTAATATAAACACTTAATAATTATGTAACCAAGATAGATCACTTTCAAGATATTCAAGCACGATATTAAATTTTAAGACTTTGTTTATTTATTTTGAACATCGGTGAGCAATTAAGGTAAGCAGGATCGAATTCCTTGTTAATCACGACTTGAAGCTAACATCAACATCCATAAAAGTCATACTACAGACAAATTAATCTTGTAATGCTTCTTCAGCCTTTCTTCAACGTTTCCCAGCTGGGCAAGAACAGTAAAACAAATCGAACTTTGACCATTTGCTATCGAAATTGTCAGTGAATGTTGTCAGCACTGCAGACATCACTCACAGCAGCTTAATTTTATGAGTACATGGTTCAAAGCCATCCTTTGCTGACTTTTGAACGCTTTAAAATTGTTTACAAGTATGCGAGTAGGTAATAGATTTCCATCAATGCAATTTGACTTGAGATTAAGAGCTGTTATTTCAAGGGCAAATTATTAATGACAATCAAATAGTAATTTTTACAATGGAGCTTAATGACGACAAACACATTTTGCATAACACAATCATATATATGTGCATCAATCTTATTAAATTATGTACATGCAATAACCAAAACCGATGTCTTCTTAATTGTTATTTAAGCAAGCGATGTTTCTATTGTGCAGCTGAAAAATCTTTTGGACTTTTTCCCTTTTTTTTTAGACTTTCAATGAACTAAAAATCATCACTAAAAATCTACAATGTTGAGATCCTCCACATAAGTCAGATAAAACTCAAGTTCTATAGTTTTCAGGATAGTTCGTGGATGAAACTTTTATTTGTATATGAAGATGAAGACGCGCAGTATTTGCATCTCCCTCCCTCCGATTTTGGTACCATGTTCTCTTCAGTAAGAACATCGAAGTTGGATTGCAACAAGCTAAACAAACAGATAGTTACGGGAGAGAACAAATAATCCAATATGTGTTCTCTCCGACCTCTTGACTCAAGCTCGGATTCAATAATGTTATTCCTACTTCCGGTGCTGTATATATCATTTTATTTTCACTTTTAATTAAAACATCCACGTTCATGAAATAAAAAATAAACTAAAAGCTATGATTGGTCGGTTCTATTTCTTGATGGGACAAAGGAAGGGAAAAAATTCAGCCTAGAGTGTGCAACATATTTGAATATACACGCTGCTCATGCATGTTAGAACTTGTATATTGCCTAGTTTTACGTTACCTGAAAAACGCCCCATTCTTTGCAAGCAGCATGAAACTTTTGAAGCTCTGTCTCTTGAGACTCTGAATCGACCAGCTTGGCCATATCAATCAACGGCACTCGGAGAGTTCTGTCGGAGGGAACGGTGCCGATGATGCTGTCCATGTCTTCTCTTATGTATCTAGATGGAACGGTCTCAAGTTTCAGGCTGGCAAGCTCCTGTACACTCGGAACAGGGATAGAAGATTCAAGATTCTTTGGTTCCAGGCCCATTATCTTTCCAAAATCAATTCTCAGATAGTGAACAAAAAGATTTGTGTTGCTGCTGGATCAAGTAAGAACTGATATTTTAGCAAGATGTAGATTCGTACTTCGAGGCTAAAGAGATACCTCTATCTACAAGAGGAGAAGCGACCACGGAAAAAAAAATATTAATCTATTAATTAATTAACCAACACTTGATCAATTGGGTAGACCATTCATTAATTAATTATATATCAGGTGTCATCAATTTCCTTCATAACAGTATACAACTATATATATCTTTCATTCAATTTATTACATTACTCTTTGTGTAAGCAGTGAAAAAAAAAATGAAAAACTAATTAAACTGAAAAAAATAGAAAAAAATTAAAAAATTAAACCATAAAAAATACTGATTAAATTTATTAGAATTTTTAAAAAAAACTAACAAGTTCTGTTCGGTTTTAGTTTTATAAGTTTGAAACTGAAAAATTGAATTAACCCAAATAAAAAAAATCGAGCTAAACCGGAAAAAAACTAAGCCAAACTAAAAAATTGAGCCAAAAATTTTAAAAAACTAAATCGAACCGAAATCAATTAGTTTGAACCAATTTTTTTTTTCAAAATAAATTAGTTTGATTATTTTTTTAAATAAAAATCAAATCAAATTACATCCATTTTTCTTATATTTTTGAGGCTCTAAGTAGAGATTTTTGATAATATGATTATTTTATTTTGATAGTTTGTTTTTTTTTAAATCAAATCTAGGTTAACATTATCAAATGATTATATTTGATAAAAAAATGTTTTATAATTTTATCTGACAATTTTGAAGTGTGGAAAAGTCGGTGAAGGATGGCTGCTTGCTACCTTGCTGTGTACTCAATAATGGTTTAACACTTATTAAATGATTATATTTGATAAAAAAAATATTTCATAAAACATTATTGAGTACACAGCAAGGTAATATTTTTTTTATCAAATATAATCATTTAATAATGTTAAACCAGACCAATTAATTTTAAGGTATTCAGGTACGAGATTCGAAATTGTTTTTTATAATTTTATTTTGAACATCGGTGAGCAAGCTAGCAAGCAGCCATCCTTCACCGACTTTTCCACACTTCAAAACTGTTGACAAGCATAATGACGAGAAACACCCTTTGCGGTAGCGGGTTTTTTTTTTTAAATGGAAGTTTTAAAAGTATATTTAATTTAAAAAAATATTAAATTAACAGATTATTTTACATAAACGAACGGAATCTTGACTTTCAACTATCTAGTACACGTTTCTCCACCAAAAATTTGGCGGTCTCGTTTCTCTAAGCTACCATTTTTGGATTTTTAACCTAGAAAACAGGAACAGAAGCCTGGACAAACGGAGTGCATGGCATCCATCTCCTCCATGGATAAATCATGGGATGGGCTTACAGATTCCAACAACTGAAGATCCAAGAATCCCATAATCCGGGCTGAGAATTTCAGACCAAGATCTGTTAGTTTGTTTTCTTTTAATGACAAAACAGAAAGCCCAAACTATTGGACCTCGGCTTAAGAACACACACAGAGAGACCTCTCCTCTGGCACATGGCTGGCTGATGGCTCCTTGTTACAGGACAGAGAACAAAAACTAACGGATTTCAAAATCCACTGTTAACTAAACAACACCCGTTTAATAATTTATTTCAAGTCCGTTTTTTTTTTTCCTAATTTTTAATTTTCGAGGAAAAAAAAGGTGAAAAAAATAATCAAAATCACAGTCTGTAAGCTCAGAGTCTATCCGTCAGCTAAAGAGGATGATAAATCTCTCCAGTTTCTGCATCTTAAACGGCATCGTATTCAGTTCTTAAGCTAATTTTTTAGTGTTCTAAAAATCTCTGAAGCCAAATCCCACTAGTGGATTTGAAATTTAGGGCTTGTTTTGCGGTGGCGCTGAGCTAAAGCAGTGTTGTTTTTGGGTATCAAAGCTGGCTATGGATTACGAGCCTTTCGATAGCAGTGGTGAGCTTCTACCTGCAGAGATCAAACCTTTTTGTGTTTCTTTATATGGATTTTTGTTAAAATATATATATATATATATATATATATATATATATATATATATATATATATATATATATATATATATATATATCTAGTGAGTTTCTTAGGGTTAAATAATGGGTTTTTTTTAATGATTAGGGCTAGGTCTTGCTTGAATTTTGATATGTAAACTGTTGGGTTTTAATGAGGTGTTTGCAAATTGATTGTTTTTTTTTGGAGGAAAAAGATGGCATTTTTTAGATAGGAAGTGTGAGATTTGTTTTTGAAAGATATTGCTTTTTGAGGTTTATTTGATGTTTGAATTGGTATCATTTAGGCAATAGTGAGGTCTGATAGTAATTTTGATTGGTATTGGAGTTTTATTTTATTCAAGTTAAGGGGGAATTGTACTTTCGAAAGTATAGTTTTCGCAAATTGTGCTTTGGTAATTGAAGTTTGTCGGATTTTGGTGATGGGCAGTAGTGTTTTGGGTGTTCTTGAATGTTCTTTTGAGCTTGAGCAACTTAAAGAGTGTAACTTTCTGCCTTTGGAGTTTTAGCATTTGTGTGTGCTGCAGAGAGATTAACAAAATGATGCACTGTATTGATTATTGGTATCGGCATTTTGTTTGCTTTTGAACAATGTTGAATGTCAACTTCAAAATACATGCGACCTTTTAGCAGTTGTTGATATGCAAGCAGCTGAATAGCCTATCATGCCATTGATTACACTTTGAATATGGATTTTATTTCCTAGCTTTGGGTTTCTTTTATAATGTTAGTACTCTGTTATTCAAATCTTTCTTTAAATCTGAGCTTTTTATCTTCTGGAAATTCCCTTCATGTAACATTCATCTGGAATTTGTGCTGTCAATGTAGAAAATATAATATGGGCTTTGATTTTTGAAAATATTTCCACTGATTGTTTTATAAAGCAAAGCTTAGACTTTTTTATTCAACAAACTTGATACTAAATGGTAGAGAAAACCTGAATGCAATTCAGTGATAATGTGGTAATTACCTTCTATGAATCTTCTCTAATTCCAAACAAAATCATTTGGAGGCACAAGCTGGCAAAATTATCAAGATTCTTGAATCTTTAGAAATAAGGGCATCAGCCCTCATGGAATTCATGTTGGTGATGCTTCCAGTTGTGAGAAAGGCTTTGTGCATGGACCTTGAACTTTCAATGGTTAAATACCTTATTTAAAGCCTCTTTCAAGTCATTTTATTATCCTGTTTTTGACTTTGCTGGATTCCAGGAACTGATGATGATCTTCCCCCGTCACATCAAAACAGAATTCCCAGAGGAGGTCGTGTGGCAGGGAATGGAAGACCAGTTGGAGCTTCAGTCCCATATCCTAGAATGTATGGTGAAACTGATATGGAGACTCAAATTCACCAACTTGAGCAGGAAGCATACAGTTCAGTTCTAAGAGCATTTAAAGCACAGGCTGATGCCATCACTTGGGTATTTCTTGTTATAATATTTTTGTGAATTCGAATAACTTTAAATTTGTCCCATCCGGTTTAAATTAACAGCTACATTATATCTATTTTCTTCAGGAGAAGGAAAGCTTGATAACAGAGCTTAGAAAGGAGTTGAGATTGTCTAATGAGGAGCACCGAGAGCTTCTCGCTCGGGTTAATGCAGATGATGTAATACGGAGGATAAGGTATGATTGGTTGATGAAGCAATCTTTTCTTTTCTTTGCAAATGAAACCCCTTTTGTTTGATCAGAGCAGGTATTTTTATTTTATTTTTTTTGTATTTAATGTGTATGATTTTGGGCAATGCCATTAGGGAATGGAGACAGGCAGGTGGGCATCAATCTGGCATGCTCACTACAGGTCAAGCTGTTCATGATCCAATACCTAGCCCTACTGTCTCTGCATCCCGCAAGAAACAGAAGATGACATCGTCAATACCTTCTCAGTCCTTTGGTGGGCCTTCTCCATCATTTCACCCACCAGCAGTTTCTGCATCGCACCAGCCATCTTCATCCACTGCTAAACGTGGACCGGGAACAGGACCCAAGGGCAAGAAGCAAAAACCTGTGAGTGAATATTCTTGACTCAAAAGCTAGCAAGTTCTACTCGTTTATATGTCTATTTTCTTAATATTTCTTTTTCCCATTTCTCAGGGTTTACCTGGTGCTTCTTCAATGAAGTCCATTCCATACCCATCATCAGGTCCATCTGGAAGAGGGCAAGTTGGAAATAGAATATCTTCCGGTGCTGTTCCTGAAGGTGCTGATCAATATATTGGGAAGAGAGTCAAAACTAGGTGGCCTGATGATAATCACTTCTATGAGGCTGTTATAACTGACTACAACCCAATTGAGGTATGTATGATTATTGATTTAGGCTTCTTTTTTTTTTTTCAAGTCGTTTTGTAGCTCACTTATAACCATTGTTAGGGGCGGCATGCTCTGGTATATGATATGGGAACAGCAAATGAGACATGGGAATGGGTTAATCTGTCAGAGGTATATCTATTGCTTTATCAATCGGTTATTTTATTGTAATTTTTTTCTTGTTTTGTTTCTTGTATGGATTGTGCTTCTGAACTGCAATTTAGCCCTATAAAATCATATTGCCTAAAGCTTTTATATTGTGGGATTTGTTTTCACTGATGAAAAATAAATGAAAAGCAGGTTGCACTTGCATTATGTTTCCAGAGTAACAGACCCCAAATTGTGAATGAATGTGTTTCATAATTGCTGTACTTAACTGATACTTTTTATTAAATTGTTTAGAGTTGCTTAACCCTGACTTGGATAAATTCTTTGCTTTGAAAAGACAATTCCAAATGTTTGCACTCGTCTGGTTTCTTTTCTACTCTCGTGGATTGTGCCTAAGATTGCAATCATTGAAGTAGTTAGTTTATGATTCTTACATTGCAAGAAGTAAAAGATTGCTCATATCAAGAGGTTGACGAAGTAGCTCAATGATGATCTGAAAGCATGATGAAATGGCACATTTCAGTTGTACTTCAAGTTTATGGATTTTTTAATGTGGTGCAAGCAGTTCTATATTTTATTTTTGATGAGATGAAGGATGACAGTTATTTTATATATATATATATATTTGCTTTCTGAACCAAAAAAAAAAAAACTCCAAGGTTCACAAAAGACAGC